ACATATTTATAAAGTACAAGATATTTTTTGTGTTATGCAAATAAAATTATTAAATTTATTTCATACAAATGAGACTAACATTAATTTAAACTAAACATACAAAATTTTCATTTTAAAACACATAATTTTATGTTTTTTCATAAACCAGTAAAACGTACATACCAGTAACAAAAATACTTTATAATTAATGAGATAATGATTGTAGAAAGCAGATAAATAATATTTTAATCATTTTCCAAACATTCAGAGCAGACTGAATACATATGTTCAATTTCTCGCGAGAGTTCTCAGGCCCCCAAGATAAATTTTGAAGGTCATTACATTCCAATCGTTCCTTAAAGAGGGATTGCATCACGCCTGAAGGTTCAATGACCTAAAATGTGTAGCTACAGAAAAAGTTGTGGTTCTGCGCATTCTTTTTAGAATCCTGGGAGGATTTTCTTATTGCTGGGGTGTACAGAACACCCCGTGCGAGTGATCGCGGGTTAAATAGGTAAAATCTGGTTTCCACTAGATTAAATTTTCTTTTAAAACTAAAGTTATGGTTATCCATTACTGTAGACCACTATTTGCATCTCATCGGTCCCCAATTTATTTTGTTGCTGGCGTGGACTCCTCGCAAGTCGTCATAGACCGCTAGGTGTCTATATAGACCACTTTGGGAATCACTGCTGTAAGGCATGGAATTTGGCTTCTGATTTGGTTTTCAGTAGAATGGAGTCCAGCGAAGACAGTCTTCCTATTGGTTGTTCGGAAGTGAGGATAATGGCTCAAAACTGCTGCCCGGTGTGTGTGAGGAGGAGGTGAGAATGGTGTGTTATGACGTAATGTTCAGAAGGGTTAAAAGAATTTTTAGAAGTCGAAAAAGCAACCGGCGGGTTTTCGAAGCGATGACACTCCATCGAATTGAGCGAGTACGGTGTTGCTGCAGTTTTGATCCGAAGTATGGCAGGCGCTTAGTGCACACCGCCAAAAGTTAAGATTCTTAAAAAAATGAAATAATACAATAAAAAAATTATTCAACAATTAAAGTACAAATTACGATAAAAATAAGAGTTAAATTAAATGTTAGGAGGATTATACGAGAGAGTCCAGGAGAATTCTGCTGGGTCGTTTCCTCTTAACCCGCGATCACTCGCTCGGGGTGTTCTGTACGCCCCAGCAACAAGAAAATCGTCCCAGGATTCTAAGAAGAATGCGCAGAACCACGATTTTTTTCTGTAGCTGCACATTTTAGGTCATTTGACCTTCAGGCCTGATGCAATACCTCTTTCTCGAAAGATTGAAATGTAATGACCTTTACAAAAGTTTATCTGGGCGGCTGAGAACTCCCGCGAGAAGTTGAGCATATGTATACAGTCTGCTCTGAATGTTTGAAAAATGATTAAAATATTATTTTTCTACTTTCTACTATCATTATATCTCATTAATTATAAAGTATATTTATTACTGGTATATACATTTTTTTTATATACTGGTTTATGAAAAAAATATAAAATTATGTGTTTTAAAATGAAAATTTTGTATGTTTAGTTTAAATTAATGTGTGTTAGTCTCCTTTGTATGCAAGAAATTTAATAATTTTATCTGTTGAATACAAAAAACATCTTGTACTTCATAAATATGTATCATAATGACTTAATTTTATTTTCATAATTAAATACACGTGTTAAAAGTTTGGGGTGTTCTCTACACCCCGCGAGTAACGACGGTAGCAAAAACAGGCGCGAGTGACCACGGGTTAATGGATGCAGTATAATTTTCAAGGTTTTGCACATTAATGTTTTCAAAATTATTTAGAGAGTTAGAGAAATCAATTGATAGGCTTTCAATATTCAATTGATTAAAGCAGAATTGGTCACATAAATAGATTAGGAGTGCGGGTAACGTTACCAAAACTGTTTTTTCAAGCTAAACACTTAGTCTCGTTTTTTTTGTGTCACACCTCGTATATTAAAAAAAATAGTCCACAAAGTCCTTTTAATGCAAAATGCAGTTTCCAATAATCATTTTTTTATTGTCTATTTTTTAATTATTAAAAAATGATAGAGTTGAATTTGTATTGATAAGCCACACAATACTCTGTTCTGCAGTTAATCATAATAGATTGATATAAGTACGATTTATATGTGCCGTATTTCCTAAGTTACCTAACATTCACACGCTTTCATGAACACACTCCAATGCGTTGCATTTTAAGCGATTAAATCTAAAACTTATAATCTCGGTGGGAAAAAGTATGTGTGATCATTCAGTGTCGATAGTTTTGTGAATGTCTTTTTCAGAAATCTTGCGAAAGCTATATGAAATGAAATTAATAATTTAAAGTCATGTTTTCAAGTAAGGTGGTCGAGACATATGAACTGGCAACTTACACTACATACTGCAATAAAATAGTGACATTCAGCTTTAATATATTTATAAAAATCATATTTACTGGTAAAAAGAGTTGCTTATTAGTGGTATCAGTTTCGAATATGCAACTTTAATTGCCTTGGAATTATATGGCTAGTAACCTAATAGTGCGTGCTCAGAGTGATGAAAAAGTTTATCTAAAACAGGTTAGATGAAATCCGAGGAGAAATATAAAATACAAATAACAGTTTTCTGACGTTAAAGAGAAAAGGACGACAAAGAGAGTAAAATATAAGTCTAGAATGCGGAAAAAAAGGAACAATGTTGTAACCCAATCCACTTCTTTTTTAACTTGATTTTTATTATATATTTAAATAATGTCGTTCTCTAAGTCAACATTTGACTTTTGCTAAAATACATATTTAGCTGACGAATGCGACCTCTGGGTTGACATCGCCCTCTCAAAGTTTGAGATATTTAACTGACATCAGCTTTGGCTTCAGCAGCACGATGGTCTCTTGACTCGTCAACTATGTTTACATTATCACGATATATTATATATATATATATATATTGTTACTACTGATGCCACCTGATCGGCAAAAGTCAGATAGAGGCCCACAAAATTAATCATGGTAAAGGGCTAAGTGACGCCTGTCGTTATCCGTAGCCTTGAGCATCATACAGGTGACAGTACGATTTGGCTCGTTTCCTCCCCAATGTTGAGGGAGGACACCTAAGGTTAGTCAGGGCCTCCCATCTCTCTACCCCTTCCATCAACCACCCGAGAGGACTTGCGGCTAGACTGCTACTTAGAGTACCCCCATGCCGCAAAGGCACTATTCATTTACAAACATCCATCTCTTCTCTGGGATTCGAACCCAGTCCCTACGGCGCCGCAGTCAGCGTCGCAAACCACTATACCGGTTGGGCGAAAAGTCTTAATTATTTTAACCAAGTCTTCTATATTAGGATTTGCTCTTAAATATGTTAACAAAATTAGGTTGTTTTAGGTTATTTTGAGCGAAATTCTGATTTTATTATGTTTTTGTTCTCAAACATATTGTTCCAAACCTACAATATCGGACATCCAAATAATGTGAATTCGGTAAATAGTTTGTTGGTACTACTTTGTAAAATTCAGCATCATTCGGATCCCTTGAAGTTTAAATAAGTTCTCTACATTTGGTTTTCTGTGTAGTAAATGGGCGACTCTTAAGACCGAGGGCTGATTTCGACGATCTCTCCACATCGATCATTTTTTCGCCCTGGCTATTCTGGATTTTCAAGCCAACTGGGCCAGCTCTGTCTCTGGGCTAGCCATCGTTCGGCTCAGAGAGTTGTCTTTCCTGCACATACACAAACTCACAAACAATTACACTAAATAACTAAAAATAATCTCACTCACTTTCAAAACCATTTTTTCACACCCTAATGATTCTTAAAATTTCACGCAATTTTATTATCCTCATGTAAATTCTTAATTTTAACTTAATTTCATCTCTAACTATAATTATTTTAAAGCAGCAAAGGTCTAAGGTAAAGCCGAGCCAATGTTCACTCCCCATTTTTCCATGACATGAGTTTAAGCTTCCCTGCTGGAAGCAGACACTCCATTAACCGTTCAACTTATCTGTGTAGTGTGGTGCTGTAGGTCAATAATTTCGATTTGGATTTCAGGTGGATAACAACTTTTGTCTTGCAGCCAAAATAATAAAAATGATGCTTGAAAAGTATGATAAAAAAAACTGTTGAAAATCATCACTAGCACCGGAAATCATGAAACCTATCACGGAATGAATCCTGTAAAAAATGGATATTGACTTTTTATTTTATCAAAGTTGGAAGCACAAATATCCTGAGATAGTTCTCGCATTTATTGGAAATGTGTTAAACTTTTTTTTCTCCATAATTGAGACGAAAAAGCAAAAATCTGTTCACAAAAGATGTATGATGAATTAGGATACGAAAAATAAAATTTTTTCCTTGTCTATTCTCAAATTTAAAGTATTGAAATGCCCCACATTATCGGTAAGCATAGCTAACCTTCATATTTCAGTTGCAATCACTGACCGGGCAACTCATTCGTTCCCAGATATTTTAAAACACTACATCAAATTCCAAAATCTCAGGAGTGCACTTGATTTCAAAAGCACGTGCATATATACAATACTTTCAAATGCAATTTAATTATATTTGAAATAAATTCATGATTTTTGTTCGAGAAAACTATTTCAAAAAAACAAAAAAAAGTGTGTGTGTACTTATGTACGCTCGTAAGAAGTTATACTTTGGCGTAACAAGATTAAAATCTTTCTAAAAATCTTTTGCAGGGCAAGCTGAGCCAAGGACGAAAGGCGGTCTCGAGCAGAGTTGAAAGTTACTAACCTTCAGTCAATCGGACCAGCCAAACCTGAGATAATCACGATTTAAATGAATTTAAACACAGGGACAATAGGACCAATAATATGGGGAGGTGGTCGATTGATTGAATATTAACGTCGCACTGTTCAGATACACGAGGGCTTTTGGCGAAGGGGAGGTGGTCGAAGTTGGGAATGATCTGTCCCATTCTGCATATTTCTAGACAAAGCATTTTCGTATCCGTAATGCATTTCGTAAAGCAAAGGTTCGCTGACGCACGCAGGGGTATAGCTCAGTGGTAGAGCATTCGACTGCAGATCGAGAGGCCCCTGATTCAAACACGGATGCTTCCTTCTTCAGGAATGTGAAGAGAAAATTTTTTTTGAGAAATTAGAAGGCGGGAATGATTTGTCCCGTTCTGTATATTTTTAGACAAAGGATTTTCGCATCCGTTCTTACATAACGCAAAGTAAAGGTTCGCTGACGCACGCAGGTGTATAGCTCAGTGGTAGAGCATTCAGCTGCAGAACGAGAGGTCTCCGGTTCAATCCCAAGTGTCCCCTTCTTCAGGGAAGTGAAGAGAAAGATTTGTCTGAGAATTTCGAAGGCACGAATGATTTGTCCCGTTCTGTATATTTCTAGACAAAGGATTTTCGCACCCTTGACGGTTTTGCGTCACATCCATGACGGTGTGCGCGCATATTGTAAAACTTTACCTCGTCCTATTTCTGTAACGACCCAAAAGTATAACTTCAAAAAATGTATTACTTTCTCATAATGTTTAATTTTTCAATAAGTTCTCTCGTATCACTGTTATAACTTAACCGTGCCATACTGTGGCACGTAGGCCAAGTATTAGCCACCCCTGTCCTAAACAGAGCTTCTCATAAGGTATCCGACTACGTTCGGAAAGGTGATTTTGCAATAGCGTATAAATGGATAATATTTGATATTTAGTGTCATTTAGATTAGAAAGTGTATATAAAATTGTTTTAAGAATATTACAATAAAAAATTATTTAAGTACAATATTGACAAAAAATGAACATAGAATGACCAATTTTCAAAATATTCTCTTTTTGTGAAAAATGCTTCTATTAAAATAATATTTTGCCTGTATATAGCTTAGACCTCACTACGGAGGCTCAACTACAATTTTTGAGATATATAACTTAGACGTGTGCGTTTATCCATATTTTACGACAACAGAGGGGAGCAATTTTAAGAAAAAAACGCCGATAATTATTTCAATTCCTGGTAACTCTGAAAATGTGAATTTTTCCAAAAATCATAATTGAGCCTCTGTACAGAAGTCTGAGCTATATGCAGGCAAACTATTATTTTATTAGAAGTATTTTTCACAAAAGAAGAACATTTTGAAAAAAGAATATTCTAATTTTTTGCCGAAATATTGTATTTAAATAATTTGTCAAAATGTCCTTAAAACAGTTTTATACATATATACAAATCTAAGACACACTATAAAGGACATGAAAATTATCCATTTACGCTCTTTTTTAAAATCACGGTTCTGAACGCGTATTCGGATACCTTAATTGATTTAGAGCTACACCCCAAACTGGGGAAAATATATCCTGGCACACTGGCTAAGTTGTTTACAAATATAACTTGTTAATACAGGAATTTGACCGCGTTAAGTTGCACAGTTATGCAAAAGAATGTTAATTGCTATCGGCGACATACCACGTGATTTGAACCACGACCAAATAAAGAAAACGACAGCAACTTTTTGCCCACTGTTGGTCATCTTCAGAATTTTCATTCTCCGGTTTGATTGTGCTTCAGCGTCTCATCAATGAACTTACTTGAACTCCGTACTGGACACTAGCTCACGACCAGGATTATATTTTATCGTATACTATTGCACACTGCATTGATTTGTGAATTGTTACTCAACTTCATTTTTAGTTTTCAATAATACATGCATTCTATAGGGAATTTATTGCACCCCCTAAAGAAGACTTCACATTTTGCGCTTTCCGTTGCTTCATATCCAGGTAGTCTGAAACCATTTCAGAATTTACACATTTCTAGAGTCTAACAAATGACTAAAGAAATAGTCATAAATAAATTATAAAACTATATCGCTATTTTCTTACAAGTGGTTTGTTGCAACAATAAAATTTCTATAGTTCAGTTATTTAGAAATATATCTGTACCATTAATATTAAATAACGTCTTAGAAAAATGTTTTGGCACACAAACAAGTGTGTTGAAAGTATAATTGTAGCGTTTAAAATTAAATTCACTTACAGTATTGTTTTACGCAGATGCGATATGAAAACCAAATTTACTCAAGAAAAATATATAAAAAATTTCCATAGCCTAAATCAACACAAAGTTTCAGAAAGATACAACAAGGAATCAATAAAATCGCCAATATAATATAAACATTTATTCATTTAAAACAGTCTATGTATAACGGTCTTGGAAAGAGGCTAGATACTTCAAACAAGATAATGAAAGCTAGTAAAAATTATGAAGCATCCAGTAAAGTATACATTTTAAAATGCTTAATTGGAAGTCATTCCATTGTCAAATAATTTTAGAAAGTATATAAACATTAAAAATATTCATTGACAAAACTTGAACTTTACCATAAGTTAACTGTGCATTCAAAATAACTGACATTTCATGCATATTTTAATTACTATACAAAAAATTTTACTACGAAACACGAATACGCTGTCAATTTATCAATATTTGTTACTCTACATAAGAAGCATAATGAGAGTATATAAACGACACATTGAAATTGACTCAAAATCATAATATAATCAATACTGTCACTTAACAGAGTCAGAGGTACCATACGTTTCTGTCAGAGCACGCACTTTTTCTTCAATTACAGTTACCGAAACTACAGCATCATCCGTCATATCACAGAGAACCGAAGCCATTATTTCAAACTTTTTGATGAAATCGTTGATTACTCTTACTTTAGTCCTACCGTCATGCTGAGAGATAAGTGAATTTATCAACTCTAGACGATCCTTAGCCAAGTCATGGGCGAACTTCATCCTTTCCATCAAATCGTCTACTTCTGAAACAGAACGTACCGTATCTTGTATATTTAAAACCTTATTTTGAAGTTCAGTTTCTTTCAATACAGAATCATGCATCATGATTTTGCTTAAATCAGATTTCAATGAAGAAAAAAGGTTTTCTTTTAGATTGAATATAATTTTACATTGTCCAACTTTTTCCTCTACAGCTTGAATTGTTGAACTCCATTGATTTCTAGGATCAGAATAGTCTGAGGATGTGTTTGAATTTCCTGGATCCATTTATGCTATGGATAGAATACAGTCAATTAAATAATCAAAGTGTTCACAGCAGAACTTGTAAAATACTCGTTTATAAGGAGAAAACTTCCTGAAAACAATAATACTTTGGTCATTAGTATTCTCCGACACAAAAATGAAGTCATTCGCTCGTCGGTTTTAATAG